AAGAGCCTCATGAGGATCTGGGGAAACAGCATTCCACGCAGTGGGATGCACATGGTGGAAATTAGCTTGAAGAGGTGGGCAGGTGCCAGCAAAGACCTGTGCCTTTCATGAGTGCCATGAAAGCCACCGAGGCAGGGGGATAAGTGAGCTGACTCGTGTGTCCAAATGTCTGTGGCTGCTGTGGGAAGGAAATGTAGGGATGAGCTTGAGGCAGGGACTGCACTGAGATCAAGGCCACCATGGGAATGTTGGCAGGCAGGTGCAGGGCTCCGTGCAGGGGTCTAGGCAGGGCTGGCATGCAAGGTCGGGACTTCCATGCCTGGAAAGAGGACACATGGAGGCCAGGAGGGCCCAAGCCCAGCAGGCATGGTTGCTGTGGTTACTGGATGGGCCCAGGAAACAGGGAAGCCAGATGCCTAGTGAGAAGGATGGTGTCACACACCTCCCATGAGGGCAGTGGGAGTGACTTGATGCTGAGGAATAAAGAGGATGCTAAAGAGGATGAGCCCTTTAGGCCCCAGGTCGGGACTGCATCTGGGAGCACATCCTGAGCCCAGCTGTGGAAAATGGAGGCAGTGGAGGCTGGAGCCCCACTGGGCTCAGAGCACTCCACTGGCTGGAATGAGGGCAAGCCAGGGAGCAGGCATAGGAAAGCTGACTGCCTGGTAGGAAACCCAAAGGAAAGAAGCAGCTTCTTGAGTGTGCAGGCTTGGTTCACAAATAGGAGAGTGGGAAGAGTAGGAGGGAAAGACGTCTGGCTCCCAGGCAAAAGCATCCAGAAGGATGAGGAGGCGGTCACAGAGGAACCAATTTAACAGTGGCAGAAACCGTCAATCAAGATAAAACTGACAGGGCCAGGCACAGTGGCTCGTGCCTATAATCCCAGCATTTTGGGAGGCCCAGGCGGGTGGATCACCTGAGGTCAAGAATTCAAGACCAGCCTGGCCAACATGATGAAATCATGTCTCTATGAAAGGCAAAAATTAGCTGGGTGTGGTTGTGGGCACCTGTAATCCCAGCTACTTGGGAGACTGAGACAGGAGAATCTCTTGAACCTGGGAGGCAGAGGTAGCAGTGAGCCAAGATCACGCCACTGCACTCCAGCCTGGGCAACAGAGCAAGACTCCGTCTAAAATATATATATATATATATATAGAACTGACAGGTCCAAACAGGGAAGCTTCCTTGGTCAGCAGTGTGGACATGTGTCCTGAGTCATGTGTCCCCAGGTCACATCCAGCTCTGGCCCCAAGAACCTAGGATGACTAAGTAAGCAGAGAGGAGTCCACAGGGTTGTGAAGTTCATAATTCCTAACACGGGGTGTGCGTTCCTTCGGTGGCCATGCAGAATGAGGAGAGGATGAGATTGCACAGGTCGTGGCCATGCTAGAGGGGTTTGACTTAAGTCTTGCTGGGACATAATGTGATCACATGCCTTCTCTGAGTCTCAATATACTCAACATACTAGACAACAAACTGTCAGAAATGCGATAGAGCAATAAACACGATGTTAGATTAAAAAAAACCTACCAAGCTGAGGGGTCCACACCATCCACAACAGTATAGGACATCAGAGGGTTCTTGCCAAAGCATAAAGTGAAAACAGAAAAGAAATGCCATGTGCTCAGAGGAGTGACGTGTCCAGCCACGCCCTCGTCTCCTCTCCTTCCTACCTTTCACAGTCCGCCTCTAAGCTTTCACCCCAGCTGACTCCCATGGGTTCCAAATGTGGATCCCAGAATCAAGAAAACCTCCTAGGTTCTGTAAACGAGAATGATTCACATCACCAGTGTTTACTTGCGCCCTCACCAGGCACAACTCCGGGGCTGTGAGGTCCTCGGGCACAAGGCACACCTTGTCCCGCCTGCCTGTCTGTAGGGCCATGGAGAATGTTACTTGAGCCCAATGGATGGCAAAGCCAGGCTTGCCAGGAGCGAGGAATATTCCCAGAAAAGAGGGGAGAAGGGAGGCTTTAGAGCACTGGGGACGATGGCCCAGAGGAGGCCCGGTGTCACTCTAGGCTGACCAGGACTGAGCCAGGTCGTGCTCAGGGATCCCAAGGGGCCGGCAAACAGCTCAGCAGGGCCACAGCAGGTGCTTCCTTCAGAACAAATGTGTGGGGAGGGGACCAGGAAAGAGGGTGCCTGTCAATGAGACAAGAATAGCACTGGGTGGTCACAGGAGCATGGAAAACCCAAACAACAGCGAAAATAAGAACAAGACAAAAAAACAACAAGAGAGCAGAAAACCGAAAGGAAGAGAGCAAAAACGGCTGAAATCCCACTCAGGGTGACTTGTCCATGGCTCTTCTGGGCAAACTCAAAGAAGGGAGAAAGGAGACAGTAACCCAAGAGGTTCCCTGAAATCTCCTCCTCTTCCAGAACACCTAAGAATTGTTCCATCCCCTAATTAAAGAAACGCCCATAAAATTAGAAACCCAGATTCTGCTGGGCGTGACACATTCTCATGAGCACGCCCGCACTTCTCTTTCAAATGTGTACTTTCGCTTCTCACTAGCAGTTTCTTGCCCTTCCTATCATTCTGACTCATTCCTGAGTTCTTTCTCAAGACAGTGTCAAGAGCCTGGACGTCAGCTGGGGGCTGGGGTCTCACAAGCATCTGGAGAACCTTCTGAGTCCTCTGGCAACATCAAGGGAAGGAAGAGAAGATTCCTCCGTGGAGCCCGTCCCCGCACACTTCCCGCCCTGGGACACGGCACGGCTGCTTTGCACCAAGCCTCACCCTTGGCACTCGAGTCGGCTGTGTTCCCTATGATCCATCTACCCGCTGTCTCCAGGACAAGCACTGTCCCATTCACAGAAGTCAGCACATAGTAATGCTGGATAAGCGAATGAATTAGTGAATGAGTGAACAAGTGAATGTGTGCACAGCTCATTTGTTTAATTGGAGTCCCGATATTGGAAGTGAATGAATGGAAAAAAAATCAGTCACTAGACCCCAGGTCCAAGTCATGAGATGTAGCAGCTGAGTGACCTTGGATGTAGCATATCACTTCTCGGAGTCTCACCTTCCTTAACTGAAATGAAATCAGGGAGCTTGCCCTGCCACCCTGCAGGGATATGGGAGCAGGAAGGGCTGGGTAGGCACCCAGTCAACGTAAAGCTCACAGGCTGTTGCCACCCTTCAACACGACCCCAGGACATGAAGCAGATCCTGTACATCCTGGACCCTCCAGCTGAAAGCTCTTTGGGCTCCTGGGCGGGGCCAGCCCCCAGGCTCCACAGTGGCATGCCCAGACAGTTCCAGAAGGCAGGACCAAAGCAAAGAGCCGGGATCCGAGTGGGATCCTGACCTGGGATACACACATTCCTCAGCGTGTTTCCCTGCTTTTCCATTCTTTATAAATCAGAAAATTAATTACCAGAAAAAGGATCTTCTGCACCAGAAACTCAAATGAGTTTAATGTATAATTTATACATGAAAATGTAGATGTCAATGTGTGACAAATCTCTGTACAAATATTTTTGCAGTTAAAATTTTAGGCATCCGTCTCCCTCCCACAAGAGTCATCATGCAGGCAACGCGAGTCCCCAGGGCTCAGGCCGGGTAGGGCTGGCAAGGTGGCTTGTCATTCCACCAGGTAGTGATGCAGCTGCCAGCGCAGCCCAGCCCGGAAGGCCCCAGCCTTGGCACCAGCCACCTGCAGCCAAGTCACAGCTCTGACCCAACCTCCCCGGCAGGGTCCTGCTGTGTCTTTAACACCATGTGCCAGCTCTGTGCTGGGCCCAGGGGAGGAAGACAGAGTGGAGTAAGGCCTCACACGCCAGGGCCTTTGAGCCCATTGGAGAGCAGGCAAGCAGACGAGGAATGACAATGACAGGGTGGCAAGTGCCAGGGCAGGGGTGGGTCCTACATGCCAGGCAGCCACAGAGGAGCAAGTACTGCCCTATGCAAGAGCATCCGTGAACATTCCGGGGCAGGAGGCCAGCCCTGATGGAGTCTGTCAGGTGGATGAAGGCAGGACATTCCCAACAGTAAGAGCCACTCACGTGAAGACCGGAGACAAGAGCAAGCAGGTCCAGATGGTGCGAGCATGGCCTGTGGCACCTGGTGGGGAATGGCCAGCAGTGAGTCTGGCATGGAGAAGAGCCAGATCACCAAGGGAGCTGTGTGCTCAGCCCTGAAACAGGACTTTGTCCTGGATTGAAAACTTCAAAAGGCGAAGCCTTGCAAACTGTAAAGTGCATGCAGCATCCACAGAAACTACCATCCCCAGCAGGATTGAGTCCTGTGCCAAGCCAAGCCTCAGCGGCCTGCCAGTTTCTGGCCCACGGGTCCCAAACGACTTCCTTCACCCCCAGGTGTACCAGTCCATAGGATTGACTAGCACAAGACTTTGCATACAAAACACTTGAAATGTAGGCTAGGCCCTTGCTTCTCATCTGCAGTTGCCACGACCATTTGGGGATGGTCATTCTCTGTGTGGGATGTTCCCTGATGCCCTCTCTCTGGATGCCCAGTGGGACTCCAGGGACAACCCACAGCATCCTCCTGCTGGAGGACCTGGCGGGAGAGGCACAGTCCACAGATGGGGCCCTAGCCGAGAACTGGTTTGCCACGCCTGCCAAGGAGAGAGGAACTGCATGTCTATACCACACTCTGGCCCAGAACCAATGGCAAGGGTCACAAACATGCCCTTGTTCACCCTACCATTGCCAACCACGTCAGAGCACAATCTGAAGTCTCAGTGGTGTCTTCCCAGAACTCAGGCCTTCCACAACAAGACAAAGCTAGTCCAACTCCCCCACCCCGATAAGGGCCCCTGGGCAGCCTCTGCAGCAGCCTCGAAGCCCTAAGTTCCTGGCCAAAAGACAAAAGCACAGGCTCATGGGACCTGATGCCCACAGGACAAGGGTTTCAAGCCCCCAGGCCTCATCACCCCAGTGCCCATCTTGAAGAAGGACACAGCCTGGCCCTGCTAATTTTTCTACCTCCTGGGGGACTGGTGGCCCATCCCTCCATGACTCCCAGCCACGTACCTCGCTTGGTCTTCGTAGGCCTGAGACCCTTGTCCTGGGCCAGGGACTCCCAAGTCTCCCGCTCCTTCCAGCGCCTCAGCTGTTCCTCCCGCATCTTGTAGAAGAGGATGTGCTTCTGCACATCACTGAGCTCGGCGAGGAGCTCAGGGTCGATGTACATGTCGTGCAGGATCTGCTGCAGCATGATGCCACCTGGGATGCACTCACCAGAAGGGCAGCCGGCCGGGGAAGCAGGGCCAGGCGGAAGGCCCGAGGGGCTGCTCTGCACTACAGGCTCCTCAGTCCGAGGCCACTCTCGGTGCCCCTTCTCTGTGCAGCAGCGTCAGTTGGCCTCAGCTTGCAGCCAGCGACAAACTCATCTCCTCTACCCAGGACAGCAAAAGAGGCCAGGCAACGGGACCCAAAGGGGCAGCTGGGACTCTGCAAGGGGGAGCACCCACTAGGAGCAATCTAGTCCTTCTGCTGGGTCACCAAGCATGGCATCCCAGCAGAGCCCATGTCTTGGCCTCACCTGGGATTCTGGGACAATGGGGAGGGCCCAAGCCTCCAGCTCAGCCAGGAAATGCCCAGTCCCAGCCCTGCCTGAGCCGGTAGGTGTCAAGTGATCTGTTAGTGGAAGGTAACAATGACACCAGCTGTATCAATGACACTGCCCCGGCCAGCTGGGAACCGATCTCTCCTCTGCAGATAAGAGGAGGAGAAGGAGGCAGACTTGCCTACTAAATTCCATGTCTTTTCAGCCAATTTCAAACAGAGACCAGAGGAGCCTGCCAGGAGCTGCTGGGCCCTTCAGCCCTCTCAGTCCCTCTCTCTGCAGGTTCCTTCGCTGCCAACTTTCTTCCTTTCCAGAACATTTGGCATTCTGAGGTGATGCGTTTAAAACTCTGCCTTGAGGGAGGAAAGATTTTTCCTCCTATCTGTGTTATAGCCAAGAAAGAAAACAAAATGGAATCAGTAGAGACAACTGGAGGGGATTTTATCACGGAATTCCAGGACAGAAAGGAAGCAGACATCCTTTGCCTTTGGCCTATAATGAGATCCTGCAGCCATGCGTGCGCTGACAGATAAACTCTCCAGGGGCCACTTTTAATGGTTGTTGTTAATCTTCTTGTTTGTTGCAGATGTCTGGAGTTGACCAAAAAGAAAGAAGATGAAACTGGCTCTCCTCTGTGCCTGATCAGAAGCACACTGGAAGGGCGGGATGTTGACTTCTGCTGGGAGGACTTCTGCTGGGAGGACTTCTGCTGGGAGGGAACCCACCCACCCTCTCTTTGATGTGTGAAAGTGAGTAGAAGCTGCTGTTGCTGAGCTCTTTAGGGTGAAAGCTCACCCTAAATATGTGCTCAGAGCTAATCACAGATGCCCTTTTATTGGGACAAGGATATTGAAACTCAGAGAGTAAGTGGCTTGCCTATGACTTCCTAATGGACAAGTCACCATTGGGACTCCCCTATTTTGAAATTTGACATCCACTAGCAGCTATGAATCTGTTGATGGTTTGAAAACATAACCCAACCAGGGGAAAACAAACGAACCAACAGGATTTGGCACTGTGGCTTGGTTGGATTGGTGACCTTCCTGTCCCCTTCCTTACCCATGAGGGTGGAAGGTGGATCAGGTACCCAGGAGTGATGGAAGAGGGGTGGAGAGTTGGCACTCTTCCCCCTCTGCAAGGTTAACACAACAGGAAGACGGACTAAGCAGGTTCAGATGAGCTGTAAGCCCACAGGGTCAAAGCTCCTGCTCAGCTGGGCAATGTCCAGGTCACAGGAGTAGAGTCAGGCGCCCCACCCCTCCCCACCCAGGTCCAGCTGGCTGGTCCCAGTGTGACCCAGACCTTCCTAGAGCCGCCACAGGACTTGCCTGTCCCCTGCAGAGCTGTGGTCCTGGACTCCAATCCGCCCTCCTCTCCCACCTCAGGGCTTGCACCGACTCCCCAACCGGGAGTCCTGGCTCCCTTCAGTTTCTGAGACCGAGGGTCTTCCCCAGCCTCCGCCCAGCTATTATCTTTCTCGCTCTCGCCGTGGCTGGTGGGGGACCCCCAAGTCCAGAGTGGAGACAAGGGGAGGAAGGCTCCCAGGGTCTGGGGTCCTGCGGACAGCTTCTTTCTGTCTTTCCCGGGCTGCAAGATGCCTACGACCACAAGAGGGCACGGGCCAGGGACAACGCTGTAGGGAGCAGCAGGATTGGGCCGGCTGGAGGCGGGCGAGAATGGTGATAGTGCCACCCTGGAGGAGGGTGAGGCGGCCAAACTAGAATGACCCCAGCTAGCGCCCATTTTGTGCAACAGAGGGGACCTCGCTGGGGGTGGGGTGATTCCTGGCACTCCCAGGTCAGTGGGGCAGGAGGCCAAGAGACACCGAATCGCGGAGACGTGAGCGTGACCCAGCCGCGGATGGCAGCCCGGGAGCGGGCGGGGTGCGGTTTCTGGAAAGACCAGCTTCGGCGCCCGCGCGCCTGTCAATTCTCCTGGGCGGGGGCGGCGCTCGGCCCGGCCTGGGGCGCCCCCTGGCGGCCGCACGGGGAGGCACTCGGCTTCGCAACCCGAGTGTGTGGGGCCTGGGTGCGGGAGGACCCCGGAGGACCCCAGGAGCAGGGGTCGCGCCGAAGAGCAAGAGTCCGCGGCTGGAAACCAGGCAGGGGAGCCACGGAGTAGTCACACAGGTTTCCTGCCGGCTTTCAATTGGTCTTATTTTGCTTTCATTTTTCATCAGCCCATGTGGCGTGTTTAATGTTGCACGCGAACGCAGTTTCTTCCGGGCCCTGGAGGCCCACGCACGCAACAATGTTGTGCAAGTGACTGGAAACCACTTGAGTGTCCCTCTGTGGGGGTGAGTTGCCCAGCATGGAGCTCTACTCCTGTCACAATGAAGTCGACTGTCTGTTTTGGCGAGGGAAGTGATCACCGTTGAGAAAATGAAAAGACGCCATGCAGAATACTGTGCACAGGGTAATTTATAAACTTCTGTATGTCTGATTGCTTTTGTGAAGACAAAGGGAAGAATACGGAAGATCCTACTCCTAATTGTTTAGCATTGCTTCTTAGCTCCTTCTTGGAATGGGGAGAAAGATGACACTTTAGACAATTCTGTGTTGTTTTATACAATGAGTAGGATATACTTACATAATTCATATGACTGAACTATAATGCATTTCAAAGGTTTTCAAATGTGATATAAAAGAATGGACTTCTGGAGGCTCAGCATCTATGGAGCAGGGACCCACCCTAGAGAGGGACCTGCGGGCAAACCAGACCTGCCTATGCCAGGAAGGCTAGGAAGTGGCAATGGAGAAACCATCCATGTCCCCTGGGGTTCCTGAGCTGGAAGCGGGCTTTGAGGCATCTCTTGGAAGCAGCTCTGGCACTGGTGTGGAGAGGGCACTGGTGTGGAGAGGGCAGGAGGCAGGGAGAACAGCCAGTGGACTCTGGCCAAAGTCCAGGAGAAGATGATAGGAACTGAGTCAGCCTTGCCAGTGGGAGCCAAGGAGGGCAGAAATGGGGGTCCCAGAGAGTCATATCAGGCACTCTGCTTCTCCATAAAATCCTTTCAAATCTGAAGTCCATATGACCAACGATGGCCAGACAGCCCCATCATCTCAGCGCAGCTGAGCCTGGCACAGCCACACGTAAGGATCGGTGATAGCAAGTGAGAGTCTGGAGTAGTGTCTGCCTTGTCTCCACTGAAAAATTATGGATGTCAAAATCAACAGCATCTCCTATATGAGTGCAACAACTACTTAGAAAATGCCATGTGAAAAAAAGAAAAGATCCTTTCATTTGGAATGAATTTAACAGTGTGGGGACCTGTAATGAACAAAAGTAAAAATCTTCGCTGAGAGCATACCTAGAATTTAATTAAGTTTAATAGAATTAAGTTCATATAGGAACACACCACACTGACACTCAGAAAGACCCCGTATTGTCAGATGTGCCATTAATCTGTGTATTAGCCAGTCTCCAATATGGTTCCAATGATGCTCTCCTCCTGGAACTCATACCCTTGCATAGTCACTCTCGCATGTATTAGGGTTGGGCTGAGTGACCAGTCGAATATGCCAGAAGTGACATGTTCTAACAGATAGATTACTGGTTGCACACTCTGTCTGATAACTGACGCTGGGGGAAATTACATTGTGAGAGCCAGGTGGAGAACTGAAGCCTCCCACCAACAGTCATGGAGTAAGGTTGGAAGGGATCCTCCAGCCCTGGCCAGCAGTTTCACTGCAGCCTGGTGAGAGACCCAGAGCCACAGTCACCCAGCTAAGCTGCTCCTAGATTCCTGACCCTCAGAAGGGTATGAGATATGTATGTGCTGCTTTAAGGTGTTAAACTTGGGGATAATGTATTATGCAGCAAAATGTAACTCAATATGTATTATGAGTAATACATAATACTCAAAATGTAACTCAGTATTATGCAGCAAAATGTAACTCAACTTAATGTATACATTGAATATCATTTCGAGCCAAAACTGAAAGGAAATTGGGAAGTAGAGACTTGATAAAATGATTCCCAAGTTAACCAAAAGAATGAACAGATAAGAAGCAGCCTTGAAAATACTGAGGAATAGTGAACTCTATATTGTGCCACTATTCAAATTTATAAAATTAAACATTTTAGTTCTGATACAAGAACAGGTAGGTTGAACCAAAAAAGAGCTCTACTAAATCATTACTATATGATCAAAATGGCAGTTCAAAGTAGTGCAAAGAGGGTGAAAGCTCAGTCCCAATGAAGCTGGGACAATTTGCTAGATCCTCACCCGTGATCCTGCCAGCACACCCTTCAGTAGTCATGTCCTCTGGGGGTTCTGTGCATACATAAGAATAATTACTGCAACATCCATCATAACACTGAAAATTTCCGAGTAAGTGATGTGTTCAATAAAAGGGGTTTAGAGTATAAACGAGAGCACATCCGTAGGATAAAATGTAATACGGCCACTGAAATTGATGTTGAGAAATGTATTGGCCTAGATGGTGCTAGTGACGTGTTTGTTGGTAAGAGGGAAGACAGGTTTAAAATATTATGTGTAGCAATGTCCCAGTTTTACATATCTGCATCAGGAAAAAGAATCGTTCCACTCCCACTGCTTTCTAAGGAGAGAAAATAAGTTCTATTAAAAGGTGGAGCTCCAGATCTGGGCAGGATCCTTGCTAGGTTTGGAGATGAAGCTGTGGGGGGTGAGCTCAGTTCCTCCACATAACACGGGCCAGGAAATTGGGGTTTCTGAGCTGCAGAGACAACAGGGGAAGAAGAGGGGGAGGTGGCCATACAACCCAAGCTTGTGGCCCACCTTGCCCCAAATCTCATCAAAACTCGTGCTGTGAGATTTTTTTATTACTTTAAAAAGTGAATTTAAACTTTATTTTTTTTTTAACGAATTTTCTCTAATTCTGCCAGAATAGAGGCAGGGCTCAACAGAGGTCCCTAAAGGACACAGGAGTTGGGGACACATGGGCTGCCAGGAGCAGGAGTCCCCAGACACTGGCAAAAATCATGGGGAGGGCTTGGGATTTTCCTCACCATGGGATCAGTGGCATGTGTCTCTAACAAACAAGCACACCCACACTGACATTGTAAACAGCTGTACACACACACACATTCATGATTACAACAGCAGAGCCCAGGCTTGCAGCTAACCCGACCTGTGTCACCCAACTTGCCAGCCCAGAGACCTCCCAGGTCCTCCCTCCCATGACTCCCTTTCCTTCTCTGTGTGGGGGGTAACCACCGGGGGTAACCAGCAGGGTGCACCACAGGGCTTTGGTTCACATTAGACACAAGGTATGCATGAGCCAGCCAGGCGCACAGCAGATGATAGTGTGAGTTCTGCTTCTTAATCTGGGGCCTGCTTCCTCACTAACTTAGTGCGTCAAAGTAATACTGGCTGAGGGAGTGGGCTGTGGTGGCTGATTCTGTCTGACTAGTGAGCATCTCCAAACTCCAGGTTTAAAAGAAAAATTCCTGGCCAGGCGTGGTGGCTCACGCCTGTAATCCCAGCACTTTGGGAGGCCGAGGCGGGTGGGGGGTCAGGAGTTCGTGACCAGCCTGGCCAACATGGTGAAACTCCATCTCTACTAAAAATACAAAAATTAGCTGGATGTGGTGGTGGGCGCCTGTAGTCCCAGCTACTTGGGAGGCTGAGGCAGGAGAATCACTTGCACCCAAGATCAGGCCACTGCACTCCAGCCTGGGGGACAGAGTGATAATCTGTCTCAAAAAATAGAGAAAAGAAAAAGTCTTGAGTGCTGGACAGGCCTGTGACTCAGGTCTCAGAACGATAAACAAGAGAGAAATACACTGGGTTTCTATGATAGTCGCTAACTCGGGGCTGCTGGCAGTCATGTTCCCCTGCAGGGGAGAGGTCTGCGTGCCCTAAGAGAGAGCTGCCGGCATGCAGAGAGAAGCAGAGATGCTGACGATGGGGAGGAAGCACACTGGCAGTGGTGAGGCTCCTTCCAGCAGCCGCAGCCCTGGTTCCTCTCAGTATGTGACCCTCACACATCCTTCCCATCTATGAGAGCCTGTTAACTGCTTTTGCTTAACCTTGTTTTAGGTAAGGTTTTAAACAATTGCCACCAGTGTGTCCTAACCACCCCAGTGGCTTGAGTGTTTCTCCGCTTCTCTTGCCTAGGATGCTGCGGAGATGGACAGGACCGGAGACTAAGGAGGTGAGAATCCTGGGCCACACCATCACTGAAGGCCCTTCCTGAGGTCTGCTTCCCACATGAAGTCCTCCCAGGGCCCCGAATCCAGCCATCCACCTCCTTGTTGGACATAGGCTCCATTAGAGAGATGTGGGGCTCCAGGCCCCCTTGCTCCGCACCTCCCTGTGAGAAGCTGCTGACAGTGAGGGAAAGGTCAGTGAGTCCTGCTAATTAGAAAACATTTTGCCCCATCCAATTTCCCCTGACACAAGGTCACTCAGCACTAGAACAATTAAGTCTCAGCCCAGGACTGACTCTTTTTTAACTCAAAGGGCAGGAGGAAACTCCAGGACCCCAGATGGCGAACTGGCTCACGCTGTGGACAGCCTCCCACAAGGCCCTCCGGGGTCTCCTGGTACCCACTAAAGACCACACAGTCTGCCAGCTCTGCCTGCTGCCTCACTCACTGCAGACGAGTCCATCCACACCACAGGCCCTGCCCACTGGGCTTCAGACCACTCGGACCCGGAGCAAGAGAAGCAGGGTCCTTGCCCTGCAAGTGGCTGAGAACTTGAGTGAGCCAGACTCCCCCAGGCCAGGGGAGCCCTGTGCCCCCAATCTCTGTTCCCTCCCCAGTGGAACAACCAGGACCGAATTGTAAACCTTTCCTCATTCAGTTCTTAGAACAGTATTGTGAGGAAGGTAATTTCATTATCTCAAGTTCATATTTGAGGAAAGTGAGGCACAAGTTCACATAGCTGCTAATGATGGATCCAGGACTTAAACCCAGGTCTCATGGAATCCTGAGTAGCCCCTGCCCTCCCACCCCCATCTCTCCTCCCCTCCCCACACCCCAGGCTCTTGTTTTCAGCTGGACAGTCCTTCTAGGGTCACACTGCTACAGACCCAAGAGCTACTGCTCAGCCTACCCCTCCCTAGTGACCAAATGTGGAGGGCACTGAAGGGATTCATGTGCCGTCTGTCCCTTAATCTGAACATAGAGCACACCCATCTCTGGCCCCGTGGAGCCTACATCCCCACCCAGTGTGACAAGGAGCCCACCATCTCCAGGCCGTCCTATGGAGCAGAAAGAAGGCTGAGCAGAGGCTGTGAACCAGGCAAATCCACCCACCACAGACTGGGCCCTAAGTTCCCTATAAAGGGAGATTTAGAAAGCCAGGAAATCCAGTGCCAAGGTTCACTTCCCTAAACCATGGGACCTGGGGCACAGACCACTGCCGTCTTCCAATAGCTGTACTCTCTTCTTTCTCCTACACACACAGCTAGACCTTTGTGTCATTTCAGGTGGCTTGTGAGTTCTGGCCAGCAGAATGTGAGCACAAGCAGGGTACTCCCATCCTCCCTCCCTGATCCTCACCTCTTCTTCAACCACCAGCTGACTAGAGATGCCTCCAACAGCTACAGGAGGCTGGACCCACAACAGGAAAGGAGCCTGGGTTCATGAAAGACTGTGTGGAGCAGAGAATTCCCCACCCTAGTTCCCAGCAACTACCAGAGACTGTGGCATGAGCAAAAAAATTAACATTTTTCTTTTTCTTTTTTCTTTTTTTTTTTTGAGATGGAGTCTCACTCTGTCACCCAGGCTGGAGTGCAGTGGCGCGATCTCGGCTCACTGCAAGCTCCACCTCCTGGGTTCAAGAAATTCTCCTGCCTCAACCTCCAGAGTAGCTGGGACTACAGGCTCCTGCCACTAACCCCGGCTAATTTTTTATATTTCTAGTAGAGACGGGGTTTCACTGTGTTAGCCAGGCTGGTCTTGATCTCCTGACCTCGTGATCCGCCCACCTTGGCCTCCCAAAGTGTTGGGATTACAGGCGTGAGCCACCGCGCCCAGCTAAATAAACATTTTTCAAAGCCTCCTAAGTGTAGGTGATGTTTGTTCTAGTGGTTAGTCTATTCTGGCTCCATCCTTCTGTAACCACCCAAGGGCTGGTTAAAACAGTTTGTTGGGCCCCATCCCAGTTTCTGGTCCCACAGGCCTGAAGGAAGGGACATACAATTTGCATTTTTATTTATTTATTTATTTATTGAGACGGAGTTTCGCTCTTGTTGCCTAGGCTGGAGTATTACACTCCAGGCACAATCTCGGCTCACTGCAACCTCTGCCTCCCGGGTTCAAGTGATTCTCCTGCTTCGGTCTCCCGAGTAGCTGGGATTACAGGCGCCCACCACCATGCCCGGGTAATTTTTTGTATTTTTAGTAAAGACAGGGTTTCACTACATTGGCCAGGCTGGTCTCAAACTCCTGACCTCAGGTGACCCACCCGCCTTGGCTGCCCAAACTACTGGGATTACAGGCGCGAGCCACCGCACTTGGCCTGAATTTGCATTTTTAACAAGTGCTGGGGGTAATGCTGCAGCTGCTGCTGGTCTGGGGTGATGCTGTGGCTGCTGGCCTTGTGAACCACTGCCCAAGCACGTAGCTGCAGTGTGGGAGTTACTATCCCATTTTGCTGAGGAAATGGTACCCAGTTCCTGGCCGTTATGGGCCCTGTGCTGGCTTCCTGCTGTGCCTCGTCAGTGCCTGCCCACATCGTTGCTCACTGATCATGGCCTGCGAGTTAGTGTCGTCAGAGGGAGGGAGAAGAGTTCCTAGAGTGGAAACCCTGGGCTGTAAGCCTGGCTCTGCCACCTCCCAGCTGTCTGGCAGCAGGCAAGTTCCTTAGTCTGAGTCTGTTTCCTCTGATGTAAAAGGGGAAAAGGGTGTTCATTTGCTCCCCACCCCCATCAGCCTGGCAGCTTTGTGCCCACAGTAGATTTTCTATGAGGACCTCTCACTGATGCACTTCAGTGGCAGAGACTTGGGACTAAAGGAGGACTTCTGGCCCCAGATGCCCCAGTGCCAGCCTCACCCCTGAGGGCCACAGTGAACACCCACATGTCTCACCGCCTCCAAGGCAGCTGACACCTCTCCTGGTACAGGCTTGCAGGGGGGAACGGGGAATTGTACGGGGAAAAAAACTCAGACTACAATCACAAATTTTAAATGCACACCTTTTCCAGTTAAGCGAATTGTGTTGCAAAGAGGAAGGAGTGGAGATTTTACCAGCCAGGGGATGGAGGACCCCAACACCCCAGTTTCTTAGAACATTCATTGCAGGTTCTCTTTTCATACTACCAAAGTCCTCCCACCCCATCCCCCACCAACCACAGCTTCCAGGAATCACTGAGATTCACAGAGAAGGGAAGTAAACACAAGAACACACTTATGTTGAAAAGATACTTGAATGCACATGTTGCAAACAAGGCGAGTCCCAGGAATCATTCTGAAGA